CTTTTATCAGATTATCTCTGGGTGTTACCAGAGATAGCAAACCCATTTCATCCAGAAGTTTAACATCTGTACTTTAAAATGTTCTCTCTGATTTAGGTATTATCATTTCTATAGTTGTCCATCTGCAAAATTTGGTAGTCATATCCTGGCAGTTTTCTTATGTAGCATCCTGTAACTTCAAAATCTAGTGGTTGAGAGTAGATTACTTGATTTCCTGCAATTAGTTTTAGTTATGTGTCTAGTTGTTTACAGTTATATATAGGAATAGTATCACCTCAGTCCTTATTTATTGTGTATCTACTGGTTAGATCTACTGGAATATTTTGCAGTTGTGTATATGTATAAGCTATCATTTGTGCTTGAGGATAGAATATATGAAAGCTTTAGAGGTAGATTAAAAAGAATATGTAAGTGTGAGAATAATTTAAGCACAACCTTAGATTGTTATTCAAAGTAGATATTTTACTTATCTCTTGGAATATTTACTTTGCCTTAGCAGCTGAAAATAGAAAGATGAAATAATGTTAGTAATCTAAGTTAAAATATAATTGGTTCAAACATATATGTAACTTCTGTAGCATGGCATTGTCATAAACTCATCTTGTCATGAAGTTTGTATTTCTAAATTTATAGCTCAAGTGTTACAATCACCAAAAAGGTTTTTTGCTAAAAGAATTTTTTTTAAAAAGAAATGTAGGCAAGATAATTATAGAAGTTTATTTTAAAAGGAATTTTAAGAAACATTTTTTGGGCATTTTTGGAGACATGTATGCAAAGCTAAATACGGAAGAATATAAAATCAATATTCCAATGGGCTTAGGAGAGTAATCAAGATTTCCCCCTTGTAATAGAGCAAATTGTGTTTGTTTCTCAGCTAACTTTTCTACTTCTAGAAAAAACACTTAAAAAGTGAGTAATTTCTAGGCATCCTACTGAATGGGAGAAATATTTGCAAATCATATATGTGATAAGTGNGCACATCATAGTGGGGAAGGCAGGGAGACCTTAGGAAGCAGCACGGATCTTCATAATCACCCTGAGGGTGAATATACTCCAGGAGCTTGTAATGCTTCAAGTGTCCAAAATGGAATCGCACTGGTTCATACTGACTCTTACAATCCAGATGTCAGGCGTGGAGAGGATAACAACCATCTTCAGCTTTCTGCAGAAGTTGTGGAAGGTGGTAGATATCAGGAAGCTTTGGGCAACACAATATTTGAGTTGGCAAATGGAGAGGTGGAGGCTTATACTGGTCTTTCTCCATCAGTCCCCTCTTTTAACTGTGAAATAAGAGATGAGTTTGAAGAGTTAGATTCAGCTCCTGTAGTGAAAAGTCCTCTTGGTGACACTGAGTTTGTCAATCAGAACAATCAGGAATTTCAGAGGTCCCCTTCTAAAGATGAAGTTGTTAGAAAGAAAGAACAAAATACTAGCCAGGAGAGACAGACAGAAAATTCAACTGTAGAATCAGCATGTGCTCCAGGACAAATTTGCAGTGAACAAAATACCAGGGGTAGGGACAACGCCCAGGGAAGTTCTCCTGAACAGGTAGTAAGGCCCAAAGTTAGAAAACTGATAAGTTCAAGTCAGGTGGACCAAGAAACAGGTTTTAATAGGCATGAGGCTAAACAAAGAAGTGTTCAGAGGTGGAGGGAGGCTTTGGAAGTTGAGGAAAGTGGCCCGGATGACCTGTTAATAAAATGTGATGACTACGATGGAGAACATGACTGTATGTTCTTGGACCCACCTTACTCAAGAGTTACACAGAGGGAAACAGAAAATAACCAAATAACATCGGAAAGTGGAGCCACAGCAGGAAGGCAAGAAGTTGTGGATAACACCTTTTGGAATGGCTGTGGAGATTATTACCAGCTGTATGATAAAGATGAAGATAGGTAAGGTTTCCCTCAGCGCTTTGCCAGATTGCATAGTGAGCAAAGTGGTTTATTTCTAGTAACATGTTGTTGGATAGATGAACTCTCTGGTATGGTCAGAGACTTAGATATTTTGGCTTATCAAACATTCTTATTTATCAAGTGCTAATTATCCATGGAAACTACTGTTTTTGTTTTTACAGAAACCTTCTTTGAGGTGTTTCAGGAGTTTACAGAAATTATAACTTCAGATAATGATTATTAGTTATTACAGAAGGATAGAGATACTAATTCTTTTAATTCTTTGTATTTCAGTTAATAAAATGCAAAGTAAACATTTAGTATTTAAAAAAATTCTGCGTTAAGCCAGTCGGTTTAAAAAGTAATTAAATTCACAAAATTTTTATTGATAGTATTGTGTTAACATTGCCAATATTTATTAATATCTCCTGTTTCTTTATTATTCATGTCGCTTTTTCTATCACTAAGTTTATTTTTTACTTATTTTAATTTAGCATTTAATTTTCATTAACAATTCTCTGTGGTGTGTACTGTCATTTCCCCCATTTGTAGATGAGGAAACTAAGGCACAACAGAGTTGTCTAGCTGCTGACTTTTCATTACCCCAGAGTCCAAATGTCCAGGTATCCTTTTAAGCTAACTGTAACCTTAACTATGATCAATTACAGTGCATTTTCAAGATTTTATTAACTTGTGGAAATAAGTATTTTTTTAAACTAAAAAGTACTACAAAGGGAGAAATTTATCCTCTAAAATATGAATGAATTTTATGTATTTTATTCCATATCATAAAATTAATAAAATATATGTTATTTTCTTTGGACATGAATTAAGTTTCTATAATATAAGTAAGTTGTAGAAACAATTAAAATATAGTTTCTACTGCTATCTTGGAAGTTTGTAAACTTTAAAGATTAGCAGACAATATTTATGTAACCTACTGTTTTTGAAGTTAAGGAAGGATAAAGATAGTTAAGAACTTTTGCCAGACTTAATTTCTATTTTTTCAGTTTAGGTCCACAATCTTGTATCCAAAATCCATAAAGTTCTAAAAATGGAAATTGGCACTAAAACCTGACTGATGTTAATTTACTTGATGGGAAATCTTGATCTGAACTAAAAATGAGGCCTCTTTTTCAAGTATTCATAGATTTTGCTGCAGTAATATGAGTGTTTGATTACTGGGTTCTGGCTTGGACCCCACTGGGAGTTTTTAGGTAGTATTTCTAAATTTTGGTGGGGGAGGAATCTAAATTCCAGAACATATTCAACCCTAAGATTTTTGGATTGTTCTACCTCTAGGTTACTATTAAAAAAAAAAATACAGTCTTAAGATAACTAATCTTNAGTCGTCTTATACGCCGGCAAATACGGTATGTATTCACTCTTAATGTAATTGAAACCATCATCATATCATGTGCTAGTAAATCACTCAACAAGTATGTATTTAGCACTTACATGTAAGGTACTTGAGTTAGATAATTTCGAGGATCATTCTCCACGTGTCCTTAATAAGCTTTTGCTGTATAGTAATTTGGCATATGAAAAATCTTTTTCGGTAGGTTACATTATAAAAATTAAAAGCCCTAAAGGAACCAAATTTCAAAAGATATTTTTTGGAGTAAAGAGGCCACATAACTCTCATAGTATTTCATGTTTACTTTTCAGGTATATTTTAGAGTACTTGGAAGTTACACTTGATGTTCAGTAGCATATGATTTGGCAAATAGTAACAAATACATTGAAGCATTACCCCCACTAGTCGCCAGAATGAAGGTCATTATTATACCTCTCTTATTTTTAACTCTGTTTTTCAGCGATGGATCAAGAATCCAGCAAGGCTGGCTGGCCCAAACCAGCAGGAGGATATCAGACAATCACAGGCAGGAGATATGGAAGAAGACATGCATATGTCAGTTTTAAACCATGTATGACCAGGCATGAAAGAAGCTTAGGTCGGGCTGGTGATGACTATGAGGTGTTGGAACTAGATGATGTTCCAAAGGAAAATTCCTCAGGTATGCACCATGGAATTATTTAAGAGGTATTAATAAGCATGTAGGAATTGGTTTTGAGCTATTTGAAATTGTGAGTTGGGTTTTATGTGTCTGTGAGTATAAATACTGTACATTTCCTATTAAGAAATTCTATTTTGAAATTTTTATTGAATTTAATATTAATAGTATACAAATTTAAACATAGAAAATAGAATATGGCCAATCATTAAAATATACACTGGCATGGCAGTGATTATATTGTTGCATCCTTTAGCTAGAGGAAATCTTCATCTTTCAAACACAAAAAAATTTTAATCTGAACTGAATATATTTTCCCCTGCATATTATGTTTAAATAGCTTTTTGTTTTTGTTATTTTAATTGTATCTCTAAATAATTTATTTTGGCTNTACTCTAATCAGCACTTCTCCAAATATATTTGTTTATTCACTTATAAATTATAAGTAATTGTCTCATTGTCAATATTAAGGATGAAATATACTATGGCAAGGTTTTTCAAGAGAGATAAAGAGGGTGCCAAAAAATTTTATACACATCTTAAGAAAGACAAAAGCTATTAAAATTGTAATACTAAATATATACCAATAACAAAAGATGAATACAAGTCATGTTTCACTTCTGCAATTACAAGAAGTGCTCAGAGTGGTTACCATGAGCGTCCAGACACTTCTGATTATGGCGAACTGCTGCTTGAGCAATGTTGACCAAAGTGTCCACTTGTATACATTTTTGTGGCACTCCCGATATATTTGTTTTCAAATGGTCATCTTATACTTAATGGGGTTTTTTGATTGACTTCTCAGATCAGACTGTATTTTTTTTAATGTATTATGGAGCTAAAAATATTTCACTAGGAGAGGCATTAGTTTTGCCTTTTTTGTTTTGTGCTTATATTAATATTTTGTTTGATCATGGTTTCTTTGTAGGAATCTTCTGCAGATTATTGTGTGAGTAAAAACTAAATTACATCCATAATTCCACTGAACTAGGCACACGAAGACTGCCATATATGTCACAGTGTATTGAAAAAGAGCCAGCAGGTAAGCTTGGTGTCTCTGTCAATTCCTGTATAATGAGGACTTTGTATTTTTCCCTTCAGATACCATATATGACAATGTGATCATGGTCTTAAGGCCAGTTTCAATCCATATGTTGAATATTTGTAAAGCTTAGTTTCTAATTTTTGATACGAAAATAAGTATAAATAAAAATTCTTATATTTTCTTTCCATAACCCCTTGGCTTCTATTGTGCTTTGCACTTTGGAGACTGTTTATTTGGATGAGTTGTTAAGGGCACTGATTCCGGAGTCATCCTATTAGACTATTGGAAAAGTTACTTAAATACTTAACTTCAACCTTA